GGGTCCGGGCTGGGGATTCGAACCCGCCACCTTAGGTGTACGTGGCTGGCGCCTTAGCCGGTTGAGCTATAGGCGCTGAGCCCCATCTTCCATCCTTAAACTTGACTTCTAATTTGGGCAATGAGCCCACATCATACAGAATTCCCAACCACACAGGAAGATGATACTCCATATGCTTTTCTTAGAAAGACACAGTTTTAAATAACCAGGACCAACGAGATTGGCCACCTAAGTGGCTGTTTTTTTTTTTAATCTGCCCCTCCCCCCCCGTCCTAGTAACACTCCATTTCAGGGAATTGAAGAGGTTCAGAGCTGGCATCATGGACTGAGGTGTTAGTGCTCTCCTGCACCCCCACAGGGTGTCCATTCTTTGGACAGTGTCATTGGAAAATAACCTTCAGAGTGTGGGGCCTGTTTTCCCAACATCTGACACACATTTTGGAACTGATGAATCCAGTGAGGATCACAGACACAAACCAAAAGAACATGTTTTCTGAGATGGTGTTTATTGTTGATACCATTTTAAGCAGCTCATGGAGAGGGACACAATTGTGTCTTTAGTCTCCTAGCACAGTTTGAAACCAGCCAGTGGAACCTCTCAGAGCAGAGGCCGCAGCTGAGGATGGTAAATAATTGATACTAAAGGCGGCCGCGTGGCCGCTCTGCTGCTCTTCTTCTGACCAAAGGCACATAAAGGTGCCAGCAGCTCACATGACTCAGCCATCGTGGCAGTGCGGTTGAAGTGCACTTTTTCTAGAATTGCCTGAAATGATCAGGCATTTTTTTCCCCAAACAAAATTTGAGGAGCGTGAGTGGAGGAGGAAGGGAGGGAGAGGAGATGAAAAGATTTTTGGCTTTAGAAGAGCGTATGGCTGAAAAATGCTATGTTGTTCGCTGGGGCTGCTGAAACAAATCCCCACACACTGTGCTCAGATCAGTGCACATTTAAGGTGCTGCTGTCACGGAGGTCAGGTGCGCAGTGCGGGCTCAGATGGGGTGTTGTCAGGACTGTTGTCAGGGAGGGTCTGTCCCCTGCTCTCAGGGTTCTGGTGGAATGCAGTTCCATGGGCTTGTAGGACTGAGCTCCCATCGTCCCGCTGAATGCTGGTGGGGGCCATTGTCAGCTCCAGAGGACACCTCATTCCCTCCTAATGATGCAGCCAGGCGGAATCACACAAGCCCCACATCACATCACCCTGGCACTCTTCTGCCTTGTCCTCCTACTTTTAAAGACTCATGTGATTCCACAAGGTTCACTGAAAGGGCCCAAGGTCACCTCCCCATCTCAAGGTCCTCACCCTGATCACAGATGCTAAGCCATGTTAGGCCATTTAGTGACGGGTTCCAGGGATCAGGGGCGGACATCTATGGGGGTCATCATTCTGCCTCCCCCAGATGGGCAGGGGGGCGGGATGTGAGCCACTCTTCGAGACTGGAGCCCGTTGCCCGGCCTAGAGATAGTGAGTATGTTGTCACCCTCTGTCCACAGCCTTCAGTGAGCGCAGGGCAGGAGGGCCCTGTCCAGGGCTAGGGATAAAGCACCCTGGGCTCCTTTCGCTCCTCTCTGCTTTATGGCTTGGCTGTACTCTGAGAAAGAGATATGCAAAGGACAGTTTGTTTAAACTATTGGTTTTAAAGAGACTGCAGAGTTGATGACATCTAGCCTTTGGCCACCAATGCAGAGATTCCTCTCTGAGCAGTGGGTTGAGGCTGAGGAAGGTTCTGGAAGAGAGAGGGTGGATTGGTACAGCACGTAGTATGCCAGGCAGTTGTCTATGAAAATAAATGAGCACACACACCCACCTGTGCACACAGACAGGCACACACATGTCCATGCACACACCACACAAAGTACATGTGCACACAGGTGTGTGGATACACACAACCTGCATGATAGAGCAGCCTTCAGTAACCTTTTATCTTTCTTTAATAGCTGGAGCTCTGCGTGCGAGAAGGGAGAGAGGACATCCAGATCAGGTGGTCCTTCATCAGTGGGCCGGAAATGGCCATTAAGGTCCAGCCCAAAGCCCAGGGGGAGGTCAGTGCGTAAGTTTTTCCATGGGTGTGTGTGAGAGAGTGTGAGCATGGGCCAGCTTATCTGGGCCATGGCTCTGCACACCTCTGATGTGGGTGGCTTCCTCCCCACCCAGGCTGATTAGGGCCTCCGGGGAAGTGGGATAGGCCTCTTAGCCTGATAGGGCACTGGGGGTGGGGACTTTGATGGATTTAATAGGGCCCCCAACCTGGGTGCACCTGGACTCACCTGGCTACTTTTAACCTTTGACTGCCACCATTGCGTCCAAACAAGATGTTTGTTTGGCAGAAGTGATGCTTGTAGGCCATTGCTCATTTTACAAACAAAAACTTGAGGACACATGTTATTGTTATGTTACTTGGCTTGAGTCTATAGGCACCATATGCTTCACTCTCAGTATTTTCAGTTTTACCTAAAATGATACTAATAACAATAGCAGGAGTATATATGAATATAGACTATGATAAATTTGAACTTGGGTCAGTATTTTTTCTTTTATTTTTGAGACAGAGCCTCAAGCTGTCGCCCTGGGTAGAATGCCATGGTGTCATAGCTCACAGCACCCTCCAACTTGGGCTCAAGCTATTCTCTTGCCTCAGTTTTTCTATTTTTAGTAGAAACACAGTCTCACTTTTGCTCAGGCTGGTCTCAAACTTGTGAGCTCAAGCAAACTACCTGTCTTGGCCTCTCAGAGTGCTAGGATCACAGGTGTGAGCCACTGCGCCAGCCTTGGGTGAATTTTTCTTTGTTATTGTCATTGTTGAGACAGAGTCTCTCTCTTGTCACCCAGGCTCGAGTGATGTGGCATCATTACAGTTCACAGCAACCTCAAACTCTTGGGCTTGAGCCATCTTCTTGTCTCAGCCTCCTGAGTAGCTGGGACTACAGGTGCCTGCCACGAAACCTGGCTAGTTTCTATTTTTAGTAAAGACAGGGTCTTACTCTTGCTTAGACTGGTCTCTAACTCCTGAGCTCAAGTGATCCACCCGCCTCAGCCTCCCAGAGTGCTGGGATTGCAGGTGTGAGCCACCGTTCCTGGCCTTGGGTGGATTATTTTGATTAGTAAGAAACCAAAAATAACCAGCAGCGCTGCACTTCCTAATGGTTGTTGGCATCCCGGGACACCTTAATTGGCACGTTTCCTTTCTGAGTGCTCTATACCCAACGGGTCAAAACTCCTGAACCCCCAGGCCCCACTGGATGAGGTTTAATTGGCTAAGAATTTTTTAGCACTTATATGCAACCAAGGTGAATGAAACCAGGGTTCCCCTTTGCACCCTGTCATGTCTGACTACCGTGTCCTCTCTGCACGGGAGGGAACTTCACTCGTACTCAGGCTGAGGCTGGGTCCAAGGGCTGACTCCCAGGGCAGAGCTTCTTTGCTCTCCGCAGGTTTTACAAGGATGTGTCTAAACTCTGAAGGTAGCTTCCTTCCTGTTTTGCATGGTTTTGGTGCTGGAGGAGGTGAACTTGGGAGCAGGGAGTGGGCAGGTGAAGTTGACTTCGTGACTTTCTCTTCTTCCCAGGACCGGGTGGTTGAGACGAATGCAGTAGCTGACACTCTCAAGGATATTTTAAAGTGTTTGGTTGGCTCTGCCTCCCCGTCAGTGGTTCTGAGCACCAGGCCCGTGAACGTGAAGGAGGTTCAGGTAAGCCCATCTGAGGGGTGTGGGTGCTTCTGAGCCTAAGGAACTACGGCTGCCTCGCTTGGAGGGTCTGTGTGCACATCCAGTGTCCCTCTGCCTTCTGTGGCAGAGCCGAGAGGGCAGGAGCGTGTGCGGGTAGATGATGACCATGGGTTTGGGATGAAGCCTTAGGTCTGGATCCCGGGGTTCAAAGCTGCACGAGGTGGAAGGAGGAGGTTGAGGGCCACCAGCATGGTCCCACCCTGGTCAGGCCTGGGTTCTCTGCTTTTCGTGAGCCCAGACTTGACTTCACTATTCAGAGCCTTGGAGCCTATCCTTTCTGGGCTCAGGGACCTGAGAAATCAAATCCTCAGTGACAGCATTGCCCCAGAAACAAGGAGAGGAAGGCGTGCTGGGCGGGCTAAGATGGCTTAGTCCGGGCTGGGCCAGCCTGCTCTCCGTACCCGGGCCTGCTGCCCCCTCCCCCACCTGCTGCCCCTGCCCCCACCTGCTGCCCCTCACCCCTGCCTGCTGCCCCTCACCCCTGCCTGCTAACTCCGTCCCCACCTGCTGCCCTGGCCGCCTGCAGCAGCCCTGGGAGGTTTTCATCCTTTGGAGGTGCAGGATGAAGGAGGCTGGTCTCTACTGTGTGTCCACCTTCTGTGCGCTGCCTCCCCCTGCTCATCCTGGGTCCTGTCTGAACCACCTGATGAGGGTGCTACCTCTCTGGTTAGATTCTCATCTAGAGTTTTTGTCCTGGTCATTTCGTGAGGCCTAAGCCACACAACAACAACCCGTTGCTTAAGGCTAATTTCTCATAGTCTGATTAGGTGGAACAGCACTTATAGTGTCCCTGAATTAAAAAAGAAATGTATCGGAAGTGATTTTCATGAAGCATGATTTATTATGCAGTTCTTGGTGAAGTCAGTTTGAACATGTCACTTAATATGATCTGTATGGCGCAGACTCTTGGTCTCTGGCTCTTGCTAGGGCAGGTGTCACCAGCTGTCAGTATGGAGTCTGGAGGCTTTGACAAATGTTAGTTGACTGCTGTGTTTTGTGCTAAGCTCGGGCACTGAGGGTCACAAGACTGTAAGAAACTATCTTTACCCTCCTGATGCTTACAGTGCAGCAGAGTGAGCAGCCAGGTCACCAGGCAGAGTAGGGAGGGGCGGGGGCATGTCCCTGCAGCTTACCAGGGGCTTGAAGCTGGGGGAGGGGAGGCTTTCCCAAAGATAGGGGCAGGTGGTGCTTCCCAGGAGGGAAGAGCAGAGTGTCAGCCTGTCCCTTTTGGTAATTCTGTTACAGAGGTTTATTTCAGATCAGAGGTGACTATTTTGAATATGGCAATAAATTTTTAATGTCAACAGTTGAGAAATGTCATATAATAAGAATTTATCAAAATTTATTTATCAAGATTTATTTATCAAAATAGCATATGTAATATGTAGTAGTATATGTTGATCAGGGTCTTCCAGAGAAACAGAACCAATATATGTTTATGAGATAGAGTAGGTATAAATACATTTATTATATAATAGACTTAATGTGATTATGAAGGCCATTAAGTCTCAGGACCCAGAGTAGACAAGCTGGAGACCCTGGGAGCCTCTGGTCTAATTCTAGTTTGAGACTGAGGGCCTGAGACCCAAAAGAGCCAATAGTGTGTGTTCTAGTTCAAAGGCCAACAGGCTCTAGATCCAGGAAGAATCAGTGTTTCAGAAGGGAAGAAAAGACTCATGTCGCGTCTCAAAGCAGTCAGGCAGGAGAGGTCTCCATTATTCATAGGAGGCTCAGTAATTTTGTCCTATTTGAGCCTTCAACTACAGCAGAACCTCCACAGCTGACCACTCCCTATGCTGACCACCCCTGCTTAAGTTGCCCTAATTCTCATAAACTGGACATGTACCACATGTCTGTACCAGCCACATGTCTGTACCAGTACAGCAGGCCCATTTCCTTATGTTGACCACCCCTGTGTGGACCAGCTTGCTGCAGTCCCCGGAGTGGTCAGCTTACAGAGGCTTTGCTGTAATTGGATGAGGCCCACCCACATTAGGGAGGAAAATCTCCTTTTTCAGTTGACTGACTCCAGTGTTTCCAAAAACACCCTCTCAGACACATCCAGAATGAGGGTTGACCAAACAGCTGGGCACCCAGGGCTCAATCAAAGTAACACAGAAGGTTAACTGTGATAACATATAGAACTGAAAAGTATTTCATCTCCTTCCCTGATGTGTGGGTTGCTCTGTCCACAGAGCTCTGTGCCTGAATTTTAAGGACTTCTACAATTTCTTTTTGGCCCCCCAGCACTCTCAGCTCCCAGTTGGGAAGCGCTTGGTTCAAAGCAGTGTTTTCTAGAGCGAGACTTAAAGAGCACCATGTCACTTGACGTGTTAGTAAGCATCCCCTCAACAAGTGTTCAGGTCAAAGCAACATGGAGCATCTGTGCCTGGAAAGTTCTCCTTGCAGAAGGCCTGCTCTGCCTCTGAGAAGCCTTTCTGGGTCCCCCCACCCCCAGTGGAAGCAGCAGGTGGCAGGTGGAACCTGGTTTGGGAAACACTGGTTTGAAGGTGGGCTTCTTCCAAGGGGGACACTCTCTAGAGCAGTGCCCTGCCGCCTGTTGGAGGACATGCTGAGATGGTAGATGGTGCCAGCCGAGCCTGCCTCTGTCCCCTCATTTGTGCAATGTCTGGTGGCCCTGGCCTGCCATGTCCTGCCTGGTTCTGGAGGACAGAGGGCACCTGCAGCCTCATGCAGATGTCCTCCTGCTCCGAGGACTGCCCCTGGGAACAGTGTGTGCCCACAGCACGCCCAGCCCCTCTCTCCCCACACGAGCGGTGGGCACTGACATTGTGGCCCTGTGGCTGCTTCTGGTACTTGCTTTGTTACAATGGGAAGGCTCCCACAGCGGGGTGGTGAGGGGCACCACTCCCTCCCTTCTCACAGCACGGGGAGCTGTCAGAGAGCAGACCCCAGGCACAGGTTTCATGTGGACTCCTCCCTAGAGCAGGAGCTCAGAGGCCCCTCCTGGATCCAGGGTCTCCCCGTGGCCAGTGCTTTCTGTTTGTGTTTTGGCAGGACCTCCAGCATGCTGCCTCTTCTGCCCAGGACCCCTGCCCGCCTAAACCTCCCCGGGCGCACGAGCTGAAGCTCCTAGTGAAGGGCATCCGTGCCTCGCTGCTGAATGGTCCTGGCGCTTCAGGTGGGTGGTGGCAGGGACAGGACCTGTCTGCACCTGGGTAGGGCAGGGCTGCCTGGGGGGTCAGGGGGCCTTTGGGTGCCCTGACAGCCCTCCTGGGGGCCAGCAGAGCCTGGCCTTCGTTTGAGAAGAGTGTGGAAAAGCCAGTTCTCCTCTGGCACACGTGGAGGCCGAGGGAGGCGAGGCTTGTGGGTGCTTGGTCCTTTTTCTTTGGTCTGGAACGTTCCTGTCTGTCTTTGCCTTTGTTTGTTTCTAGTATTGATCTAGCACGTACGTGCTAAGCTCTCTGACCCGTGTGTAGCTTCTTCTTTACTGTGAGTTAGGGGGCTGGGTAGATGGCTGACGGGGTGTCAGAGGCCTCTGCTCACTGGGGACTCTGGCGCTGGGAGACAGTGGCTGTTGTCAGAGCCAAGGTGAGCAGCAAGGGCAGACAACCCCTTAGGGGTAATTCCTCCCTGCTGTTGAGGCCCTGGACACAGAGTCGCCAGGGCCAGGACGCACCTTTACATGGTGACTCAGCTATGCTAAAAGCCCAAGAGTTTGTTTCTGTTGTATGAGAATGTTAGCAGTGACCCGTTTTATTTGCAAAGGGGTCTCCTACTTCCAGTTCCAGAAGCACAGAGAGGCCACATCTAACCACTGAGACCCATCTCCATGCTAGTTATAGATGATGTTTTTGGTAAAAGTGATCAAATGTTGACCTTTGAGTCTGTGCTGCCCAGAGGCCGAGAGCAGCTCCCAGGCCCCTGTGGCCCAGGTTGGTCCTAGCTCCAGCTCACACCTGCTGTGAGACCAGCCTGCTTATGCCTCTGCCAGGATGTGCCCTCCACTGGGTCCAGGTCTCACCCGGAGACCACTGGGTGACTGTGAAAGTTATGGAGAATGTGTGAGGGTGCTCTGGGCTGGGGAGCATGTGCTGGTGATCGTGGATCACTCAGTAGACATGTGCTGGGGACTCTGTGTCTAAGGGGACGCATCGCCTCAGAGCAGAAATAGCTGTTCTCTAGTGAAAGGTCCTTTTACTTAGATCAAACGCCCCAGAAGACCTTTGATTGAGCTGTGTCAGGTATAATGACACTTTTCTGTTGTAAGTAGGGGAATGGGTTCTCTGTGAGATATCTCAAATTTAAGAGTCATCCCAAATTTATGTTTAGGCTTTGGCAAGTTGATTGCCTCGTCTCTGTGGGTAAGAGTCCTGCCAGGGGTGGGGGCAGGGGTTCCCCTGCCTGAGAGGCTGCCCCTGCAGCCAGGACTGATGGAGGAAGTAGGTCACTTGGGGTCACTCCAGGAGTGTTGACATCAAGTCTGAGAAAAAAATTTTTAATCCCAATGAAATCCTGTGTTTTAAGAGTTTGTAAACGGTAAATGAAAGAAAGAATGGACTCTCAGAAGTGGGTAAGCCAAGACAGTGGTCAGTTAATTTGGCCTTTCTTTTATATGCAAACAGTGTTTTTTTGTTTGTTTGTTTGTTTTAGACAGATCCTCAAGCTGTCACCCTGGGTAGAGTGCTGTGGCATCACTGCTCACAGCAACGTCCAACTCCTGGACTAAGCAAGTCTCTTGCCTCAGACTCCCAAGTAGCTGGGACTACAGGCACCTGCCACAATGCCCAGCTATTTTCTTTTTTCTTTTTTTTTTGGTTGTAGTTGTCATTGTCGTTTGGCAGGTCTGGGCTGGATTCAAACCTGCCAGCTCTGGTGTACGTAGCTGGTACCTTAGCTGCTTGAGCTACAGGCACCAAGCCTGCAAACAGTGTCTTAATGCCATTTAAAAATAAAAATAAAAGCTAACTTGATGTCCCTTTATTTGGTTGCAGGCACCACTAACACAGTGTGCACAGCTCAGCTGAATGACCCGGTTCAGAGGTTCTCCAGTACCCTAGCAAAAAACACCAGTGACCTGACTTGGGAAGAAGAATTCACCTTGTGAGTACAGCCTGGGTTATCAGAGGGTGGTTTCCACAGCTCTGTCTGTTCAAGACTGCCAATCCCAAATCATTTTGTAGCACTGTTTATGCCCCCAAATAAAAACCATCTGAAAGGTGGCCGTGAGTCAGATGTGGATTTGTTTTTAAAGGTAGCTCTCTCATGTCAGTTTCTTCTCTTGCCCTGTTGTGACAAGAGAGAACTGTCACTGGATTTCCCACTTGCCTTCAAAACACGCCCCACCCAGAGCAGAATAGAAGGGAACTTCTGACTGATACAAAGCTGACAGAGTAGAAAAAGGAAACAGTTTAGGCCACTTGTAAATAATGATACAAGAATCATGAATAAAGTATTATCAAATAGAATCTAGCAACACATTAAAAATAAAACCAGGTGATTTGAGATCATCCTGAGCAAGAACAAGACCCCTATCTATAAAAAATAGAGAAATTAACCAGGCACGGTAGCACACACCTATTATCTCAGCTACTTAGGAGGCTGAGACAGGAGGATCACTTGAGCCCACGAGTTTGAAGTTGCAATGAGCTATGATGATGCCACCAAACTCTAGCCCAGGCAATGGAATGAGACCCTATCTCAAAAATGGAATAAAATGAAATAAAACCAGTTAAATTCATATTGGGAATATAAGGATGGTTTAATGTAAGGGAATCAATTAATGAAATTTATGATATTGCTAGAACAAAGAAAGAATAAACTTTGTATCTCTGTATATGCCTGAAAGATGTTTAGTGGCATTTAATAGCCATTCTTAATTTTTAAATCCTTAATTAGAACAAAATTTATGGAAACTTCTTTAATAAGATTGTTTTAAACTCACTGTAGAGTTTAAAAACCAGAAGCAGTCCCACTGAAGTCAAGAGAAGGATGCTTATTATTTTGTTCTAGAAGTATTAGGTTAGCACAATTAGATTTTAAAAAACAATGTTATGCAAATACTGAAAAGGAAGAGGCAAAACTAATAAGGGTCATGTTGCATACATGGACTATTCAAGAAAGTCAAATAAGACTATTAGAAATAAATAATATTAGAAAACTAATAGAAAATAATAATTCAACAAAGTAGCTGACTACTATAATGTTGAAATCAATTGCTATCTGATGATTATAATATAAATAATTAGAAAAAGTAATGGAAGAAAATGTTCAGTGTATATATGAAATCTGATAATTAAGTTCAAGAACTTATCCTAGAAAAAGTGCTACATATTGCTTTGCTGAATATCACTACAGTCATTCACCTTTAGAGTACTCTCCTTGGGAAGCTACGCACTGATGCCAGCACCTAGTCCACCCTTCAGAGCAGTTTTGGAGCTCTTTTTCTGGAATGACCATCAGGGCTGTCATCATATGGGATACAAAAACATACAACAGCAATAATGAACACCACTTAGCAAGACACCATTACACATTAACAGGAACACAGCTGTGAGACCTCGATATACCAAGGTTATGAAACCTTACTGAGTTGTTTGTACAGTGCTACCAATAAATGCATGGTGACAAGATCATGAACTTAATTGTCAGACCTCATACGATGACAGCTCTGATGGACATTCCAGAAAAAGCGTTCCAAAATTGCTTCGAGGGTAGACTAGCCACTGGCATCAGTGCACAGCTTCCCAAGGGAGTCCTTTGAGGGTGACCACAGTGATGTTTAGCAGTGAGGTAGGTAGCACTTTTTCCATGATGAGTTCATGATCATTGACAAAACTATGAATACACCCTTAGAAAACTGGGCAAAATTCCCAAACTAGAAATAGAACTACTGATGCCTATAAACTTCTAAAAAGATGCTTAATCTCAGAAATAAGGGAAGTAGTGCAAACTTAAATGAAAGAGAAAGAGATCATTTTCCCCGTGATAGGTTGGTAAAGAGCAGGAGAGTGAGCATGGCAGAGGAGGTGTGAATTGGAATAAACACTGGATGTTATCAATAGGCACATATATTAAAAACCCTCAAATCCATGTGCCTTTTGACTGGCAATTACAATTTTCCTAAGGAAATAATCACAGTGTGGAAGGAGAATGTTTATCTCAGCTTGTTTATAGTTATGAAATATTGGAAGCCACAAGCCCTTTATTAAGGAGTTGGCCACATGAAATCTCTTAAGGCCATTAAACGTGATGTTGCTCCGTAGGGACTGGAAAGATGTCCCCGTCATCTTCAGTAAGGAAAGTGGGTTGCAGAGGGGGGAGAGGTGTCGCACTCCGCTGTGCCCTTAGATCGTTATGTAGCTGTGTTTTCGGTACTGGCCACATGCAGCTCCTTCAAGTTAATAAAAGTTAAACAAAGTTACATTGGGTTCTTCAGTTTGCACTGGCCACATCACGTGTGCCGTGGCTGCTGTATGGGACAGTGCCGCTGTCGTCATCGCAGAAGGTTCTGCTGACAGCAGTGGAAGGCTGTCACCAGATATTAGCAGTGACTGTTTCTGAGTAGGAGGCTACAGATAATCTTCCCCTTTTTTGCTTGTCTCTATAGTTTCTTAAATATTTGTGACTTTATTTCTCTCTATAATCAGAAAAAATGCATATTTTGAAAAAATAATAAAGTATTATATTTTTAAGGATTTGCACCTTTTTCCTCTTTGCCCAGCGAGTTGAATGCCAAGTCAAAGGAGTTACACCTGCAGATATTGGAGGCAGAGCCATCCTCAGAAGGTGGGTGTCGGGCAGAGGGACACAGGCCTTGCCTGGGGCGGGGGGTGGGGGGAGGCGGAGACCCAGCAGAGGAGCCTGATCCCCTCCCCAAAATGCTCCGGGTTTTCCAAGGGAATGTTCACTGGAAAAGCAGTTTCAGATATTTATAAGGTCACATATTTTTTGGATGTGTTCAGCTTGCTTTTTTTTTTTAATCCACGATCTTTTATTTAACACTTCTTGGCTTAGACAGTTCTGAACCCTCCTAGTCTCAACAGTCCTCCTTTTTACACATTTTTTAAGCATGACAAAAGAGACATAAGATTTACCATCTTAGCCACTGTCAGGTGTACAGTGGAGGGGCAGGAATACACTCGCAGCCGGGTGCAGCCATCACCCCCTCCCTCTGCAGAGCCTCTCCATCACCGGCCCACTTCCTAATGGGGTGAATTTCAAGTGACTTTTCCTTGTAAGGTGTGAGCCACAGTGGCTTAGATTGGAACACAGCTTAGATACAAGAAAATAGCAATTCAAGGTGAAGGCACTAAAGCGGACATGGACTTGTGTGTATGTATACAAATCTTTTCAATATTTGTTGGATTTTTAAAAATCCCTATAAATGTATCAAAATTAGAAAGATAGGGAGCTTTGCCTGGCTTATCCAGCCATGAAATCAAGAGGTAGTTATTTCTTCTAAGTCACAAGTTTTGTGCTAGTTATTAGCAAGAATTCTGAGGCGATTTCCTTGACCCTGAGGTCCTGAGATGACCGAGAGGTCCAGAGACAAGCATGGGGTGGTCAGGGGTCAGGGTGGGGCACTATTTGCCTGAGGAGAAGCCAGCTTCATATCCTGTTCTTAGGTCACTGCTCCTGCTATCCTGCCCAAATTTTATTCCAGTCCAGGCTGGTGGGACCTGTGAAATTTTAAACTTACAGAAATGATGCACGGTGCGACCATATAACGTTCACTCAAACTTACACATTGGTAACATTTGCCTGAGTTCCTTTATTATTCCTGCTCAATCTCTCCACCCTCTTCTCTCCCTCCCTCTCCTTCCTCACCTTCACCCTCTCTTTACACACACACAATTTGAGGGAGATACCTATATCTTGGCCCTGTGTACCTAAATTCTGTAGTAAGTATTTCCTAAGATAAGTGTGACCTTCTCCCCATGGCCACAGTACAGTTCTGCACTTCCCGAATTTGCACTGATTCAGCTCTTTCTATCTGTACTTCTTTCTTTTTTTTTTTTCTGTAGAGACAGAGCCTTACTATGTCACCCTCGGTAGAGTGCTGTGGCGTCACAGCTCACAGCAACCTCCCACTCTTGGGCTTAAGCGATTCTCTTGCCTCAGCCTTCCAAGTAGCTAGACTACAGGCCCCTGCCACAACACTATACTTTGTTGCAGTTGTCATTGTTTTTTTGCAGGCCCTGGCCAAGTTCGAACCCTCCAGTCTTGGTGTATGGCAGTGTCTTAACTACTAAGCTGCGGGCGCTGAGCCTGATTCAGCTCTTTAATCCCCCGTGTTTGTCACTGGACTCAGTGGTTCCCCTCACGGCAGCTACCTGTCACTCCAGCATGGGGTCAGGATCTACCTGAGATTGTCACAGGGCTCTGGTCATGCAGCATTCACAAGCTTCCTTCCTCTCTCATGACACTGACCCTTTTTATAATGTTCTGAAACTTGAGCATTTCAGTTTAACAGGACATGGCAGGTTGTTCTTGCTGGAGCAGTTCACAGTGACCTTTCTGTGTCATGGGACCCGGTGGAAACACAGCAGCACTTCTGTCTCCTGTCTTTCTAGGTCTGCTGGCCGTGGCGACGGTTCCTTTAGATTTGTTTAAGAAGCAGCCTTCTGGACCACAGAGCTTCACACTGAGCAGCGGGCCGGCCGCTGGCAGCTCAGTGTTGGGTTCGGTCACAGCAGAGGTACGTGATGGTCCCCCGTGGCCGGCGTCTGGCTGGACCCACTTGATCTAGGGCAGTGTTTTTCAGTTTTTTTTTTTTATCTCGTGGCACACTTGAACTTACAGTTAAACTTCCAGGACACACTTAAATTATGTTGGTCAAAAATCAAAGTAAAAAAAGAATATACTTACTGTGCTTTGAACTTCTTTCAAAAATAATTAAATTAATGATCTTTAAAAATGTTGTGGCACACCTGGATCCTCTCATGGCACACGGGCTGAAAGTCACTGATCTAGAACCATCTTACCTTGTGTCCGCCACAGTCTCACCCTTGCCCACTCTCTGTTGAGTTGTCAGCTGTAGGAGATGACTAACCGTGATGCCCCTTCACGGGCCCTCCGGAAAGGCCTGGTTAAGTTTCCCTTCACTATCAAACTTCTATCCCATCACCATGTGTTCACTTGGCGTGTTTGAGCCTGGACCTCATGGTTCTGTTAATTCTGGGGAAATCTAGGTTAACTGGAAATACTAAGTGACATTGAGTGAAGGGCATTGGTTGTTCTGGAAGTAGCCAGAGTCCATGGCTGATGGGCTTTTGCACGAGCCACAGAGTAAATGCCAAGTCCTCTCTGTAGTTCTCTTACATAGAACCCGGTGAACAGAAGTCCTGGCAGGCCCCTCCCTCTGCCCCTGCCGCGAAGATCGAGAAGGACCGCACCGTGATGCCCTGTGGGACCATAGTCACCACCCTCACTGCCGTGAAGACCAAGCCTCGCTTCGATGTGGGGAGGGCGTCCCCGCCGAGCTCGGGTGAGGCCCTGGAGCGCAGCCTCCCTGGGAGCTCTGTGTAGGCGTGTCCCCTGTGTCCCCTGCATGACCGGGGGTGTCCTGCTGCCAGTGCTCTCGGCTGCTGCACTGAGTCTTTGTAAGAAAATCTCACAGCCCAGGGGGATGGTGGTTGGCAAGATTGTGCTTAGTGTTTTGTTACTGCTGGACAATTATCTTTCTAATTCTGTCCAATAAACTATGATAAACTGTGGCAGGGTTCAACTCTGTAGTGCAGGCTGAACTTAAAATCTTAGACTTTTAAATAGACTTTGTATAACTGCAACCAAATTCTCTTACACACTCTGTTACATTTATGTGGAAACATCACGCTATCTTACAAAATTCAACGTGAGTGGTTAGTGTAGACTTTCTTAGGTTAAAAGTCATTTGTTGGAAGGGTTGACAGGGTGTCACTTAAAGCCAGCTGAATCCTATACCCGTCCTCAGCCTCAGCCGCACTAACCTCTAAGTGTGTGATTGATTACTTTTTCCATTTTGACTGCCTCTCTGCTTGTGTAAAAGTATTGTCTTCCCAGAATAGATGACTTTGTGTGGTTCAGGATTGCAAAATAGCAAAGGAAATTCTGGCTTAATTAAAACGTTTCTGAAATTGGCTCAGTGCCTGTGGCTCAAGTGGCTAAGGCACCAGCCACATACACCTAAGGTGGTGGGTTCGAATCCAGCCCGGGCC